GCCTTAAGGGTGTTATTTCGAACTTTCGTCGAAAGGTTAATCCGTCGTTGTTCGATCGAGGTCGAACTCCTCTTTTTGGCGAAGGCCCTTAGCTTCGAGGGTGTTATTTCGAACTTTCATCGAAATATTAGCCCGTCGTTGTTCAATCGAGGTCAAACTCTTCTCTTCGGCGAATGCCCTTAGCCTTGAGGATGTTATTTCGAACTTTCATCAAAATATTAACCCGTCATTGTTCGATCGAGGTCGAACTCTTCTCTTTCGGCGAAGGCCCTTGGCCTTAAGGGCGTTATTTCGAACTTTCGTCGAAATATTAACCCGTCATTGTTCGATCGAGGTCGAACTCCTTTCTTTCGGCGAAGGCCCTTGGCCTTAAGGGCGTTATTTCGAACTTTTGTCAAAATATTAACCCGTCATTGTTCGATCGAGGTCGAACTCTTCTTTTCGGCGAAGGCCCTTAGCCTTGAGGGTGTTATTTCGAACTTTCATCGAAATATTAACCCGTTATTGTTCGATCGAGGTCGAAATCTTCTCTTTCGGCGAAGGCCCTTAGCCTTAAGGGCGTTATTTCGAACTTTCGTCAAAATATTAACCCGTCATGTTCGATTGAGGTCGAACTCGTTTCTTTTGGCGAAGGCCCTTGGCCTTGAGGGCGTTATTTCGAACTTTCCTCGAAATATTAACCCGTCATTGTTTGATCGAGGTCGAACTCCTTTCGTTCGGCGAAGGCCCTTGGCCTTAAGGGCGTTATTTCGAACTTTCGTCGAAATATTAATCCGTCATTTTTCGATCGAGGTCGAACTCTTCTCTTTTGGCGAAGGCCCTTGGCCTTAAGGGCGTTATTTCTAACTTTCGTCAAAATATTAACCCGTCATTGTTCGATCGAGGTTGAACTCCTTTCTTTCGGTGAAGGCCCTTGGCCTTAAGGGCGTTATTTCGAACTTTCGTCGAAATATTAACCCGTCATTGTTCGATCGAGGTCGAACTCCTTTCTTTCGGCGAAGGCCATTGGCCTTAAGGGCGTTATTTCGAACTTTCATCGAAATACTAACCCAATGTTAGTCCCGGTTTTTCGGAGAGTTGGGTATCTTCTGGGGGAGTCCCAATTCGCCTGATTTTATTTGCATCGGGGAGTGTGATGTCGGAGGACAAAAAATGCTGCTGCTTTGCTCACCCTCGTTTCACGCACGTATTGGAGTTTCCTTGTCTAACCTTTTCGCTTTCCGGTCTGGAGATGTCATTGGGGGGTGGGACGATGAATTACACTTTGACCTCGGGGAGTTCCCCCTCGTCGGCCCGGTCTTTAAGTCCCCGGGAAGGCTTTCTTGGGACACATTCTTGGTGAGGGAAAGGGGGTATCACTTAAGGGGCATCATTTTCCAGGAGTTGGGATTGCCTGGTGGACGATATTTCGGTATTTCATAGTAATTTCCCCTTCTCCGGTTGGGATGTTTCTTTTCTCGCTCGCCCGCGCGGCGCTTGCGTTCCTGTTTGGGAAAACATCAGGAGGTGGGCCAGGATGATATTCTCCTTATCCTGATCCGATGAGTTGGTGAATGAAGGTGGATCTGTGGCGTTACTCGCTTTGCTTGGCGTTTCGATGGTTGATGGGGGTGGTGTTTTCTGAATTTGGTAACCATATTCAGCTCTCTTTCCCTTCCTTTTTTGTGCTTTTGTCTTGTGCGGGCTAGGCTCGTTTTGGCTGGTTCAGGGGCTGCCTGGCGTGCGAGGGAGGATGTTGGTTGCAACCATCTGACATTCCTGGAATTTCATTAGTTCCTGTTCCTTTTTCGGGTACTGGTTTTGGGGGTTGGAGGAGAAAAATAATAGTCGCTTTGTCTGCAAAAAACAAAATAGCTTTTGTTGATGGTACATGTTCTCGACCTGTTACTGATGGGGCTGAACGAAAATTATGGGATATGTGCAACAACATGGTAATTTCATGGTTGACAGCCTCCTTATCCCCTGAGATAGCTGAGAGTGTTCAATATTCTGAAACTGCTCAGAGTATTTGGGTTCAATTACAAACTAGGTATGAGACTGCAAATAGGACCAAAATATTTGAGTTAAAAAGAGAACTTGCCTACACTTTCCAAGGTGCTTTAGATATAGCCTCATATTTCAATAAATTGAAGAGGTTATGGGATGAAGTGGGAGTGATATGCTCTAACCATGGTCAAAGGTGTGTTTGTGCTGCAAAGCCTGGTATTTTGCAAGAAGATGAGGAGAATAAGCTATTTCAGTTCCTCATGGGGTTGAATGAGACATATATGGAGGTGAGGAGTAATCTTCTTATGATGCAACCTCCTCCTAGCTTGACAATGCTTATAATATTCTTCTTAATGATGAAAAACAGAGGCAAGTTCAATCAACTCTCAATTTCAACCCTGACTCCATGTCATTCAATGTAGTACACAAGTAGGCCTACTTTTGGTTTTGGTTTCAATCCCAGTAATACTCCCAATCCTACTCCTCTCAAATCATATGCACCAAGAGTTAATTTTGATCAGAATAAAGCTCTTTGTTCTGTAAGTACTGCAAGAAATCTGGTCATCTCATTAACAAGTGTTATAAACTACATGGGTACCCCCAAAGTCCAAAGTTTAATAAGGGTAAGAAGACTGCAGCTCATGTGTCTACTGCAGTTCACACTAACTCTGAGGGTAATGTCCTTGAATCTGTTGGGTCTTTGGATGAGGGAGATAATCCTGCTACTGCTGCTTCCAATGTTGATGGTCAGGGATCCATAATCCCAGGTCTGAGCAAGCAACAATATGATCAATTGATCAACCTTTTACAACAGTCTCATATGGGGGATGCTTCCAAGCCTCAAGCCAATCTCATGTGCTCTGCTAATTTTGCTGGTACTTTATTAACTGAAAGCCTAGTTCCTAATTCTAAGCTTTGCTTGCTTACTGAAATTCATTCTGTTACCTGGATAATAGATTCAGGTGCTTCTGATCACATGACTTCTAATAAAGAATTACTTTTTGACATTACACCCTTATCTATTCCCTACCCTGTAACTCTTCCTAATGGATACAAAGTGAAAGTAACCTCCACTGGTTCTTTTGCTTTAACTCCATCCATCATCATTCATAATGTGTTATTTGTTCCTTCATTTCAACACAACCTAGTCTCTGTTCACAAGTTAATCAAACAACTACATTGCATAGTGTTATTTACTGCCATTTCTTGTTTGTTGCACATGTTACAGGCCCCTTCTCTGAAGATGCCTCTGGATCTTGGTAAAGAGGAGGATGGCCTGTACAAGTTCACTTGGGTGCAACCATCAGATTCTTCCATTCTTTCTACTTCAAATTCATGCAGTACTATTTCTTTATGTCCTGTAATAGACTCTTGCAAATCTGTTTCTCTTTCCAGTCCTACAAATGTCTCTAGTCTTAGTTCTTCCTTGTGTAATAATGCTGCTATGAATGATATGAATTTGATTTGGCATCAAATATTGGCACATATTTCTTTTGCAAATATAAAACGTATTCATGTTCTGTCTTCTTCTCTTTCTTCTAGACAGTTTTTTCCTTATTCTGTTTGCCCTATGGCTAGACAAACTAGACTTCCTTTCCCTGATAGTTCAATTAGTTCTACTAGACCTTTTCAATTGATTCATGTTGATACATGGGGACCATATCACACACCTACTTCATCTGGTTCAAGGTATTTCCTTACCATTGTTGATGATTTTTCAAGAGCCACCTGGACTCATCTATTGGGATCAAAAAGCAATGCTTTCTCTATGATCAAGGCTTTTATAGCCATGGTCCAAACTCAATTCCATACACATGTCTAGACCATTAGAAGTGACAGTGCATTAGAACTAGGCTCCAGCGCTGCTGGCTCTTTCTTTTTCAGTCAGCTTGGTATCATTCACCAAACTACCTGTCCACATACCGCACAGAAAAATGGGGTTGTGGAAAGGAAACACAGACCACTTCTTGAAGCCTGTAGAGCCTTATTGTTTCAATCCAAACTGCCTATCACCTTTTGAGGAGATTATCTTTTGACTGCCACATACTTACCATCCAGAATTCTTAAAAACAAGTCACCCTATGAGGTCTTATATGGCAAACCTCCTACTTATTCTCACTTAAGAACCTTTGGATGTTTGGCTTATTCCACTGTTCCTATTCCTCAAAGAGAAAAACTACAACCTAGGGCTATTCCATGTGTCTTTCTGGGTTATCCTTTTGCTAAAAAGGGTTACAAATTGTACAATCTCACCACTAAGAAATGCTTCATCTCTAGGGATGTGATTTTCCATGAAACATGCTTCCCTTTTGCTACTTCTTTTTCTTCTGTTCCTTCCCCTATAATTTCTTCTCCTCCTTCTTCTACCATTTATCAGGATCCTATACCTCCTTCCTCTTCTGCTCCTTCTTCTCATCCTGTCTCTCCTAACTCTACTGTTTCTACACCTGCACCGATGCTCCTTCTCCTATCCATTCTCCTATACATTCTTCTCATCAAGATGTGCATGGTCAGTCCTCTCCTCCTCCTATAGTACTTAGAAAGTCTTCCAGGCAACACACTACTCCTTCTTATTTGAAGGATTATGTTTGCCAACTTCCTTCCTTTTCTGGTTCTTCTTCTTTGCCTCATGTAGAAACTGAACCTTTCAGTTATTCTCAAGCTTCTTCAATTCCAGCATGGCAAGATGCCATGAGAAAGGAATTTGATGCTTTGGATGCAAACCACACTTGGGACATTGTGCCTTTACCTTCTGGTAAAAAACTTATAGGTTGTAAGTGGGTCTACAAGATTAAGTACAAAGCTGATGGGAGTGTGGAGAGATATAAAGCTAGACTTGTTATTAGGGGGGACACTCAGGTTGAAGGTGTTGACTTCACAGAAACCTTTTCTCCTGTGGTCAAAATGTCCACTGTTAAATGTCTCATAGCTGTAGCTATCGAACATAATTGGTCTCTTTCTCAGTTGGATGTCAATAATACTTTTCTTCATGGAGACTCGATGAGGAAGTCTACATGAAGTTACCCCAGGGTTTGTCTATTTCTGTCCCTTCCAATTCTGCCCCTCTTGTTTGCAAATTGAGGAAGTCCCTCTATGGCCTTAGACAAGCATCCAGACAGTGGTATGCCAAGCTCTCTCAAGCCCTATATTCCAGGGGTTATACTCATTCTCTCAATGACTATTCTTTGTTCATCAAGGGTACTCCTGGCAATTTGGTTCTTTTAGCAGTTTATGTAGATGACATCATCATTACTGGGGATGATACTGCTGAAATTTTTGCCTTAAAGCATTTCCTGGATGCTCAGTTTAAGATCAAGGACTTGGGTTCTTTGCATTATTTTTTGGGTATTGAGGTTTCTATTGTTCCTGGTGGGGTTCTTCTCAACCAGAAAAAGTTTGTCTCTGATTTACTTCAGCAGTTTGATTGTATTGATGTTTCACCTGTTGTCTGTCCGTTAGAGCTCAATTGTAAGCTACATGCAGATGTTGGTGATCTCTTACCTTTCCCTGATCAATATAGGAGTCTTGTAGGCAAGCTTCTTTTCCTAACTCACACTCGGCCTGACATATGCTTTGCTGTACAACATTTGAGTCAGTTTTGAAGAGTCCCAGGGTCCCCCACATGACTGCTGCTCTCCATATGTTGCGATATCTCAAAGGAACTGTTGATTTGGGTCTCTTCTATTCTGCTTCTCCTGATTTCTCTATCCATGCTTATTCAGATAGTGATTGGGCCGCTTGCCCTGACACTCGTCGATCTATCACAGGTTTTTGTGTTATACTGGGTGGTTGTCTCCTTACCTGGAAATCTAAAAAATAACCAGTTGTGTCTCTATCTTCTGCTGAGGTAGAATACAGGGCTTTGAGTAAGGTGGTGGCTGAACTTACTTGGTTTTCTAAACTGATGTCTAACTTTGGATTGTCTGTTTCCCTTCCCATTTCTGTTTTTTGTGACAATCAGGCTGCTTTGCACATTGCTAGAAATCCTGTTTTTCACGAACGAAGAAGCATATTGAGGTTGATTGTCATTTCATACGGACTAAGCTCCATGATGGTTTGATTCAACTCTCCCATGTGGCTTCTTCTGACCAGTTGGCTGATGTTCTCACTAAACCCCTTCCAGGTGCAGTTCATCATGATCTCTTGTTCAAGTTGAAAGTGGTCTCCCCCTCCAACTTGAGGGGGGTGTTGAGCTAATGGAATATTTGGCTAATAAGCCTAAGCATAAATAGTTAGCCATTTGCATTGTATTAGTTTGTATTAGCCATTTTATATTGTGTCTTTTATTTAATTTGTCAAGTTGGCTATTTGGGCCATTTTAGTAGTTAGGCTAATTTTGTAAATAGCTAAAGGCTCAGATATAAATACTGGGAGAACAGATCCTGTAGGTCGGTGAGTTTATTTGTTGATGTACAGATAATGAAGATAGCCGATTTCTCTCTCTAAAACCCTAAAACAAAATTTCCCATTTCTCACTCAAATCACAATGTTTTCATATACCCCTACGGATTAATCAGACGCCATTTCCTTCTCCATCTGTGAATTGGGGGAAAATAATAATTATTTTAACTCTCAATCTTGGTTTATTAGCCATACAAACAGAAAAGTAATATTACTTGCACCTCCTCTAATTTGAACGATTTAGAGGGACTTCCTTCTACATGAGAATGCCACAGGATTTCTTCCATGCTGTAAAGTTGAAGTGCAATTTTTAGCATACCTTGACTAAATTACCCCAATTTTTACAATGATATATATATATATATATATATATNACTGCTATTACATTTAGCTTAAAAAGGCCCTCATCAGGTAACCTTTTCCTACATACAAATCATTCTTACTTAGTACAACACTATTGGAAACAAAAATACATTTGAATCCATTCTTGACAAGAAGTGAAGTCGACACAACATTCTTGCGAATTTCTGGAACATGGAGAACTTGGTTTAGAGTCACTATTTTTTCAGACGTCATCTTCAACGCAATCTTACAAACTCCTTCAATTTTGGCTGTAGACGAATTTCCCATGAAAATTGTCTCGTCGGGTCCTACGGGGGCATAAGAAGAAAATAACTCCTTGTTATCACAAACATGGCGGGTGGCTCCAGAATCTATCCACCATTCTTAGGATTTCCTACCAAGTTGCATTCAGACAATATGGCACACAAGTCCTCCATTTCTTCAGCTTTTTCAACCATGTTAGCTTGATTCTTCTTCTTCTTATCATTCTTTGGTGCACGACAATCCACGGCCTTATGCCCAGATTTTCCACAGTTGTGGCAATTACCCTTGAACTTCTTCTTGCTTGGGTAGTTCTTTGGTCCAGAAGCCTTCTTTCTCTTCTTGGTTTGTGGCGCCTCCTCAACAATGTTAGTCCCCATTATTGTCGAGTTCCCACGTGACTTCTTTTCAGCATTTTTGTTATCTTCTTCTATCCTCAAACGCACAATCAAGTCTTCAAGTGTCATCTCCTTCCGCTTGTGTTTTAGATAGTTCTTAAAATCTTTCCACAACGGAGGTAATTTCTCAATGAAAGCGGCAACTTGAAAGGCCTCATTTATGACCATACCTTCAGCAAGTAGGTCATGCACAATGACTTGTAATTCTTGGACTTGAGTTATGACCGACCTAGTGTCAATCATCTTGAAATCCAAAAATCTAGCAACCACGAACTTCTTAAGTCCGGCATCCTCAGTCTTGTACTTCTTCTCAAGCGCATTCCATAATGCTTTTGAAGTTTCCATGACGCTATAGACATTGTACAAGCCATCTTCCAAACAACTCAAAATGTAGTTTTTTCACAAGAAATCAGAATGTTTCCATGCTTCAGTTACAACAAGTCGTTCGTCATCTGGAGTGTTTTCAGCCAGCACCGGAGGATCCTCCTTGATGAATCGCTGCAAACTCAACGTAGTAAGATAGAAGAGCATCTTCATTTGCCAACGTTTGAAGTCGATATCGGAAAACTTTCTGGGTTTTTCTGCTAGTGCCATAGCATGAGCAGGAGTAGAACGGCTTGACGAGGCAGCAGCACTCGTAACAGTAGCTCCCGTTCCCATAACATTTCCATTAGTTTGATTTTCGTTCGTCATCTTTTCTGTAGAGTTGGAAACACAACAGAACTTTGTTAAATCAGTGAAGTTTTGATATCTTCAAACTGAATACCAAACCAAACATACAACACGTAACAATGGTGAAGTTTTTATATACTTCAAACCCGTACGTTTATTATTCCGATAAAGTTTTTATATACTTTAAACCGGACAGAACAATTATTGGAGTAGAAAGCACGAAGGTTTTAGTCTCCAAAACAATATACAAAATATGAATAACAGTTTAATATATGTTTCAACACAGAAACGTTAGTTTAAAATTCCTTAAGCTTGTGAGCATTACTGTGTTAAAACACAAAATCAGAAAAAAAAAACTTTTAGAAGAATTAAAGAAATCTGGAAAATAGTAGAGAATCAGAAATATTCCGAGTCCACAAGTTTCTTGTGTGTCCTTAAGGAATTTTAACCCCCTCACAAGTTGCCAAGGTAATGGATTAAATCCTCCCAGGATAAAACGGAATAAACCTTCCTGCAACAGTGGCAATACAAACTGCAGGATCCCAACGAACTCAAAGAACGGTGCAAAATCACACTTACGAATTGGAGAGAGAGACTGCGAATTAGGATGCAGTATATTCAAAAAGAAAGAAGTTCTGGAGTGTTTTTCGTGTGTAGAAAATGGAGCCCTGCCTCAGAATTTATAGGCAATTATCAGAAGAGGTGTCTGGAAAAGGTGCCTTTTCAGAAGAATACGCTGCCTGCCGCGGTTCTACCGCGGTTACGGCAGAACCGCGGTCAGAGAGGCTCTCTGAATTTGCCTGCCGCGGTTCTACCGCGGTTACGGCAGAATCGCGGCCAGAGAGTCCCTCTGAATCTTCAGCAGGGTTCTGGCGTATTTTCAGCAGTGATTTGGCAATTAATTAATTAAATAAATATTGTCCAAAAATAATCTTATCAATCGATCATTTGACAAATCTAAATCCAAATTCAACCGAAGCCGAAGCCGAGCCGAGCGAGCGACGACAACGGCGCGAGGGTTCATTCTCTTCAACTCTTTTTAAGAGCTTTAAGAAGTGATTCTATATATAAGCACACAAATGTGATTGTCCCTCACCAATGAAGGACAAAGTGCAAGACAAAAGTTCACTTCTTCAAATTTTCATTTTTCCCTCCATTTTATTTCCCTCCATTTCCAATTCACACTTCTTCTACTTTAAAGCCCAATGGCTTAAAGTCCAACAATCCCCCACATGAATGGGAATGGCTGTATCAAGAAAGATCATAGATGAAAGCTGTGTGATTTGCAAGTAAGGATTAGTTGCATCTGGATAAGTAGGTTTCTGTCACGACCCGGATTTCCCACCATCAGAGTCGTGATGGCGCCTACTCGTGGTAGCTAGGCAAGCCAACTTAATTACCTTTCCATCACTAGCAATTATCTTTAACAGTTTATAACATCAATATAGAACATAAGTCTAATAAGAACAATAGCGGAAGTCTGTCTTAAAATGATAAATTTAAAACGCGGAATAGTCAAAACAACCTCTACCCAAGATTTGGTGTCACATTACTCACGAACCACTAAGAATAAACTAAATACAAAGGTCTGAAAGAAATATAACAGTTGTCTGTCTCGAAACAATGAGGCAACAGTCAAAAGGAAAAACATAAAGAAGAGACGCCGGGCCTGCGGACGCCTACAAGGCTACCTCAGTCTCGTGAATATGAATCGCCTGCTTCCGAACTACTGCTGCTGCTGTTCCTCAAAACCTGGACCTGTGCAAAAATGCACAGAAGTGTAGCATCAGCACAACCGACCCCATGTGCTGGTAAGTGTCTAGCCTAACCCCGGCGAAGTAGTGACGAGGCTAGACTGGACACCACATAAACCTGTGCAGTCATAAATATACAGCGGAAATCGAATACAAAGCAATTACCATCATGGAGGGGGAAACATGCTATGGGGAGTTACANCTTCCCAACACACGAGCATACTCCAATTGAGACGTAGTTTCACATTTATTCTTTATAAGATGATGATTTAAGTCAATTGGAGTTCTTGCACTTCTAAATTCCAAATGTTTGAATTTTTCAAGTACCATTTTCACGTAATGTGATTGAGACAAAGCTAGACCCTGAGGAGTCCTCTTGATTTTAATTCCTAGAATTACATCGGCAACTCCTAAGTCTTTCATATCAAACTTACTAGCAAGCATGCGCTTAGTAGCTTGAATGTCGTTTGCTCATTATTAGCATATCATCAACATATAAGCAAACAATGACTATATGATTTGGAACGTTCTTAATGTAAACACATTTATCACATTCATTAATCTTAAAGCCATTTGACAACATTGTTTGGTCAAATTTCGCATGCCATTGCTTGGGTTCTTGTTTTAGTCCATAAAGAGACTTAACAAGACGACACACCTTCTTTTCTTTTCTCGGAACCACAAACCCTTCAGGTTGGTCCATGTAGATTTCTTCCTCTAAATCACCATTTAAGAAGGCTGTTTTTACATCCATTTGATGGATTTGAAGATCAT